CTTTAGGTACTGGAAGGTTGCTCTAAGGTCTCCCCGGACCCTTCTCTTCTCCAGGCTGAACAACCCCAGCTCTCTCAGCCTGTCCTCATAGGAGAGGTGCTCCAGCCCTCGGATCATCTTCGTGGCCTCCTCTGGACTCCCTCCAACAGGTCCATGTCCTTCTTGTGCTGAGGACCCCAGAGCTGAAGGCAGTACTGCAGGGAGAGGGTCTCACGAGAACGGAGCAGAGGGGCAGAATCCCCTCCCTCGACCTGCTGGTCACCCTGCTTGGGATGCAGCCCAGGACACAGTTGGCTTTCTGGGCTGCCAGCGCACATTGCTGGGTCGTGTTGAGCTTCTCGTCAGCCAACACCCCCAAGTCCTTCTCCCTAGGGCTGCTTTCAATTCTTTCTCTGTCCAGCCTGTATTTGTGCTTGGGATTGCCCTGACTCAGGTGCAGGACCTTGTACTTGGCCTTGTTGAAGATGACAGAAGCAAGCTAACTCTCTGTTATGAACTGAACATTTTGTTTATGATCGCAAGATTTCCTGCAAGAGCTGGGAACTGAATCCAGACACCCACAGGTCTGTCCTCCCTCTCTGGCCAAAGAGACAGAGCTGGTACCTGATGTGCCCCCAGAGAGCTCCCTTGGGAGCAGCAGTAGTGACAGGAGGCTGGCAGTGCCCCGGGGAGCAGCCACCTTTGGGCAGGGATGGAGGGAAGCAGGCAGTGAATTAGAGGTGGTGGTTCTGAAGTGGGGGAGGAAGAGGGTTGAGCTCCCTCCAAACAAACTAACCCAAAATTCCCTTTCTCTGCATTGCTGGTTGAATCATCCAGTAATGGAAAGTGTCACTGTATCGGTGGGTCTAACCAGGTATTCATGTCATCGCTTGGCTGTACTGGCACTTGTTCGCATCACGGCCAGGATGCAGTGTGCAGTGCTGAAAAGGCACATCGCTGTGGGCCCAAGCTGGGGATGGCAGGGACAGGAGCTAGTCACAGGGAAGATGTCAGTCATGCCTTAATTTTGTTCCTTCTTTTGTCTTTGCAGCGCCTCCAGAGTGAACTCCCCCTAACCCTTGAGCAGCTGGAGACTGTTTTTGACAGCTTGGAACAGAACAATAACGGATATCTGACGCCTGTGGAGTTCAGCATGGGACTAGGTAAGGGCTGCACAGAGGCAGAGGAAGGAAAAAGCCCGCCTGTGGCATGATGTTTTATGTTGGTAAGAATGAAAGTGCAGTGGTTCTGCTGAAGCTGTACCAGCTATGCAGGGCAATTCCCCATGCTTATGTGAATACCACTGGAGAAGGTGTGTGTGCAATACTGCTCTCGCCCTTCCTCAGGCTTTGTGTTGCCGTCTTCCACAACCATTACCTCCCTTCCTGGTAGAGCCAGCTTCTGAACATCTCCTGCTGGAGATGGTACATACTGCAGCCTGTATCTGCCTATGTGATCCACAGTTGTTCATCTGGATAAGGACCCTCGTTGGATGAGGGGACAGAAATACGCCTCTTTGCAACCATCTCTAGCTGATAGCAGTGTTGTTCAAGGATACTAGTAGGAGTCCTGTTAGTAGGCTAGTGCACTGACAACTGAGCTTTTGTTTTCCTCTTACTGTTGTCCTTTCCAAACAGGAGGAGAATGCTACTCCTATACTAAAGTCATCATCCAGCAGCACAAGCAGTGTAAGAGGTGTTAAGGAGGAGGAAAGACCACAGCACTAGTAGTCTTTGTCCTAGGTGCTTAGTTGCCTTAACTGGTTGTAAGCTCTTGGAAAATCTGCACCCTGTTAGTACCTTCCTTAGACGTGCAGAGGTGTTAATTGGCTCAGGTCAAAGCAAGTGACCATAGGTGGTCTAGGGTTTTCAGAAGTGATTGAGGAGGCTCTTGAATTACAGCATCCTGATTGCTCAGGCTGTGGCTGCTCATGGCTTTCTGACAACTTGGAGAGGTGAGGGCCTTTTTGGTGCTTCAGTTTGAATGGCCAGAAACAGCCATTCCTGAAAGGAGAAGCTGTAAAGATTTCCTTGGAATAAACATGGAAAACTGTGTCCTGGGCTAGCCTGTTCAGGGAATGTGTTCACCTATTGAGCGCCTGCTGACTATGCCTGTTTCTGCCTTGTGCCCCTGCCTGTGGGGTCGAAGCCTTGTTGGCTGGTTCTGCTGACTTTGCCAGGAACAAGAGTCGTCTCCGGTGGGTGGGCTTTCCTGCCCAGCACTGTGTAGAAGGTGAACAGGCACCGTTTGGGCACCTTGGCATCCACAGTGCCCTCTGTGTTATGACTTGATTATTCCCAAATCTCATTGTTTGAGGCATTTGTCCTAGCCATAGCCATAGATGGACATCATGAGGGTACCTGCCTCAGTGCCATTGCTGGTAGAGGTAGGCAAGATTTCTGTGTGTCAACCACCAGTTGTCAGGTACTACTCCGTGTTGGCAGCTTGGCTCCGTGGGACTTGTTCCAGGCTAGGAAAAGCAATTAATTTCTGCCTTTCTTTTCTTTATGGTCATTCTTTGTGTCCAGCTTCATTGAAACCCTTTTCAGACTTTGCCCCTAACTCAAGAGTTTGGCCTAGCATATTGGTGTCTTCCTTCTGGAGTGTGCAGGGGGGAAATGAAGGGAAGCGGTTCAAGCTGCAATCAGGCCTGCTTCTTGAGAGAGGTCCTTGCATGGCCTCTGAGAGGTTACAGGGTACACCTGCACAACTGACAAAAGAGCATACATTTAAATTTCTCAATTTAAAGCAATCTGAGATCCTTCTAGGATG